CAAATCTAAAAATAGATCATTTATGAATTTCATAAATGATCTATATTTTTAGATTTGCGGGTTTTCCCTTGGCGACACTCATATATTGTATTAAACAAATTTGGCTACTTTATACACTAAATTTGGCCACTTTATATCTTAAATTTGACCACTATATATAATAATTTGACCATTTTATATTAAAATTTTCATTTGTAAAACCCTCGAGTAGCGGTTATAAAATCAAGTACAGTAATTTTGTATAGTTTTATTTACCGTAAAGTACTGACACATAGATCTCAATGAGTTGTATCCGGGCATTCAACGGATAAAAATTTCGATTTACATTCAAATGCTATCCATATCGTATTTCGAAAAACTGGTGTAAAACATTGGTGACTATCAAAGTTGAACAAAAAAAATGCAAAAATTGCATAGTAGGTATATCTCTAGCCTGTAAATATCCAGATGTATCAGTCAGTACTTTACAGTAAAATTTCCAATAATTTTATTAGATAAATTCAATTTAAATCTACTAGATCTCGCTCTGCCTTCACATAAATTAAATTTCAATATTTTGAAATATGTTTACCAGTTAATTGTGGATAAATAATTCAAATGAAATTCATCTATTATTCATAATACTTTATTGGTTGTAGAGACAAAGTATTTATAAATTAATAGTCTTATCATTATATACCGTATATATTAGTAAATTAAAATTATTCAATATACACGTGAAATGCATCAGAAATTGAAAAATCGATAGCAAATAAGAAGTTTCTACGTTAACTACTTTGTCAAAGTAAGTGTGAAACGTCAACGACCATAACGGTTTCTTCGTAGTTATCTAACACACGCAATTTACGAATTTGCTTTTGTGAAAAAGAAAGAACACAACTATTTCCGCAGAAAGTTGATCCTATTATTATTATTATTATTAGACGAGGGTAAATATAAAGCATTAAAAAAAACATCTAACAATTGTGAATAAACAGATAATAATATCACCATTCTCGGATCCAGTTCGGTCAGATACAACAAATAAAACATTCCGATTTCTAGCTGCATCCAGGCTTTGTATATCTGTTGTAGATTCTTCATCGTTCGCATACGTGTCGTCGAATAATGGTAGTAATCGTTGACACCAATAATTTACTGTATTACTACCTTCACTCAACAACCATGCCATTGAACATAGTATAATGTTGCTTTGTTGGCGATGATGAAAACGCGCGAATTCAAATGCTGTGAATCCAGCCTGGAACCTATACGGGTTAAGATCCATGCAAATACCGAAGCCAACCTGATTTTGAATCATTTGAATTAATAATTGGAATAAGTCTGTATTAATTTGTGCCAGTAATACCTTTCCCAAATCAGGCACATCTATAGATTTGAATCCGGGGCCTTCCTCAGCCCAACTTTCATCAGTTTCATATAGATGTGTCTTTTGATAAGTTTCAATAAGACTCCCATTTCGTCCAACGAAGCATATACTATTATAATATTTGTCTGGATCTCCTATTTTTATATAACACTTGTAATTAGGGAATTGATTGGAGATTTATTTGATAAAAAGTTAATCATTCATTTACCCTTAACAATTTGTGGATATCCAACCATAACAAATGCTTGCAACCTAAGGGCTGTAATTTAAAATTACTAACAGGTATAAATGGTTAAAATTCATTATAGCAGCTATAATTAGACCTTGTTCTTTGGCCCAATGAACTGTAGTTCCCGTCTCTGCATCTTCGAGATATGGCATAATATGTTCTTTATTTTTGAAGACATAACCTAAAAAAGCATGTTAAAAAAAGAAACCTGTTCATATTGATCATATTAACATGGACAAAAAAAAAAAAAAGTATAACATGTATCAGCATCGATGCCGACCGGTAAAAGCCATCTCAGGCAAAACCAAAATATCGATTTCGCCAGGTTGATATCTTATGAAATCAATAATAATTCAATTGATATGTAATCGAAATAGAAAATAATAATAATAAAACTAAGTAAAAATTCAACTAAATAAATCCAGACTTTTCAAGCATTTCGGATGCGCGTCTTTGATTCGTTTGAACTTCTCCAATGATTGGATTAAATTGAAGACAAGCTGATTATTGAAAAAAAACAATTCAATTAATCAAATTAAAATAAAATAAATAATTTACGATTTTTCATTACCAATTTTCATATCAGATATTGAACTTTTTTTTTAATAACAGAAAGCGAAATTTAATAGGACCCCGAACAATACATATAGAGGTTATATGGCTCTCTATGTTGTGCGAGTGATACAAACCCAAAGAGGGAATTCAACGTAAAGTTCGTAAAATTAAAAATTTAGGGTTAGACCATGTACGATTTCATTCCCGTCACTTTTAATTAGTGTCCCAATACAGTCAGACGATTTACCAAATAAGGGGGACGTCTAAAGCGGACGCAACTTATATTTAATAATTTTTTCGATTAATTTAGGGTTAGGGTCTTCTATATTGGGGTTAGGTTAGGTTTTTTA